TATGTTCCTCAGTACCTATGTTTCCTGGTACCTATGTTCCTCGGTACCTATGTTCCCTGGTACCTATGTTTCCTGGTACCTTCCTCAGTACCTATGTTCCCTGGTACCTATGTTTCCTGGTACCTATCTTTCCTGGTACCTATGTTCCTCAGTACCTATCTTTCCTGGTACCTATGTTCCTCAGTACCTATGTTTCCTGGTACCTATGTTCTTCAGTACCTATGTTCCTCAGTACCTATGTTCCCTGGTACCTGTGTTTACTGGTACCTATGTTCCTCAGTACCTATGTTCCCTGGTACCTATGTTTCCTGGTACCTATGTTCCTCAATACCTATGTTCCTCAGTACCTATGTTTCCTGGTACCTATGTTCCTCGGTACCTATGTTCCCTGGTACCCATGTTTCCTAGTACCTATGTTCCTCAGTACCTATGTTCCTCAGTACCTATGTTCCTCAGTACCTATGTTCCCTAGTACCTATGTTCCTCAGTACCTATGTTCCTCACTACCTATGTTCCTCAGTACCTATGTTCCTCAGTACCTATGTTCCTCAGTACCCATGTTCCCTGGTACCTAGTTCCTCAGTACCTATGTGCCACAGTTCATACTCTCTGACTCCAGGTTTGCTTGTGGTTCTTAATGTTTCTAAAAGTAGAATAGGAAGCTGAGCTTTCAGTTCTCAGCCTTCTCTCTCATAGAACCCCCTTCCAGTTTCTGTACGTGAGGCTGACACTGCCTAAACCAGACTTTCCTTTTTTGATAAATTTTTTGGGTTTCCTGAGTTGTTCTTAGTTCTACTGCTATAGTTTTAGACTGCTGGAGGACAAACTGAACACGTTTCTTCACTCTTCTGCTGCTGTTTCCTAACTAAACTTGCTTGTTTCTCCATGTTTGTATTTGTACTATCATTGCCTTGAGTTTTTGTTTGTTTGTTTGTTYCCCCACAGAAACTTGGATCGTTCATTCTGTTTTAATGGGGCCACTCAACATTCTGACCGAAACCAAAAGCCATAAAATAGTTTCAGCTATTTCATTATGGTGTTGAAAAACTTTGGTGACAGCTTACCTCAGTTTCTTAATTATATTTGTTATTTAACTAATTTAGTAGTTATTGAATCACCACAGGTTTATAGTTTATTATTATTTAATGTTAATAAAAACTCTCTGAAACTTGTTTTCTAATAAACTGAGAACATTGGTTTTAGATCTGTTGTCTTTAAAGGAGGACAAGATTTAAAGTTTTATTTAAAAATTTGTTTTTACAATATTTAACTCCTTTTTACTCAAAAGCAATATTTCTTCTGTTTATGTTCTGCTGATTTGAACTGGTAGGGGAAATGAAAATGCACATTAAGCAAAGKAGGATAAAACTGTCTGGCCAATGGGGTTGTGGGGGGCTTCCTTTTTTTAGGGGTGGCCCTCCTCTGGCCCCCAATTTGTCAGGTCCTTGTAGCTGAATAAAGTGAATAAACTTTACATCCAAAAAATGTAAAATGTTTCTAAAGGTAAAGACAAACTTTGAAAGTCAGATTATATATATTTTTAATAAAAGTAATGAGCAGTTACCCGGTGGTGCAGAGGGACGTGTACCTCAGCGGGTAGCACACGGCACAGAAGCGGTCCAGCGCCATGGCGGTGAGGGTCAGCAGGATGTTGGAGGCGCTGCTGATCAGCACCGTGATCATCAGTACGCACGCAGAGCGGCCCGGCCGCGCGCTCAGGTGAATCTGGTAGTAGAAGACGCTGCTCGTGCCCAGGTASACCAGGGCCGACACCAGCAGGTGGAAGACCAGCACGAAGCGCGCGTGCCTGCGCAGCCGCTGCTCGCGCACGATGGTCCAGTTGATGATGAGGTTGAAGAGGAGCAGCACGGAGAAGGACACGGTGGAGACGTAGAAGCGCACGCAGGTGTACTCCTCCGTGGTGTTGTTTGAAGACATCCTACCTCAGCTGGGATCAGCTGTGTGCTGGTGGAGACTGATGATGATGATGATGATGATGATGATGATGATGATGATGATGATGATGATGATGATGATGATGGGAGAGTGAAGCAGTCCGCCACATGATCCCCTCTGTCTGCTGTCAGACTGTAGACTGACTCATCTCCTTCCGTGTCGCTCACGTTTCCTCACGCACCACAACAAGAGGAAGTGTAGTCAACCAGAAGTGTAGCTACTAACGTCTTGTTTTAGTTTTTGTTTGTTTTTAGAGGGGAGGGGTCTGAAAGCCACTGTTTAGATTTTACTGATCCATCAGTGAAAAAAACAAACAGACCATGACACTTCCACTACCGTGCTTTGAGGGAAAWTTTTAATTCTTGTGCTTGATTTTGATGTTTTTCTTTTTTAAAACGTGGCTTTTTAAGTCGGAATAAATAAAGGTTTTTTTTTATCAAAGGCGGCTACCAAGACTTATATCATAAAAAATAACAAAAATAAACGAAAACTGCTGCTTTCTGCTCCAATCAGCAGTTTACTGCAGAGTGCTTCTGCCCCCTGCTGGTGGAAGAAGTAACACCTCAGCCTCAGGTGTTTTTGTTTACCTGAAAAATTAGACCTCTGCMCAGGCTTAATCCAGAATATATTACTATTATCATAGACCTGTTGCATTGATTTTCCAGAAATATTTTTTGGTGAAAGTGCTTAATTTTTTTAGTAATAAATAAAAAGTAAATTGAAGGGAAAATCTGGCTTTTTGTGTAAAAAAAAAAAAAAAGTTTTATTGCAGTTTGCTTCTGCCCCCTGCTGGTGGAAGTGTGTAACACCTCAGCCTCAGGTGTTTTTACCAAATTTGCCAAATTAGACCTCTGCTCAGGCCTAATCTGTGCTAAATAAAAACCGTTGCATTGACTTCCCTGTTAAAATTGTTGATACATGTTTGTTATAATTTTCTGGTTACAAAAAACCCCCAAAAATACTCCAAATGAATAAATACTATTGAAGGAGAAATTATCGTTTTTGATTTAAAAAAATAACAAGTTTTGTATTCATCATCATCATCATCATCATCATCATCATCATCATCATCGTTTATTTATAAAGCACAATAAAAACCAAAGCGCTGTACAGGAGCGTAAAATAAAAACAATGAACAAAGTACAGTAATAAAATGAACAATAAAATCAAACAAAACAGCAAAGGCTGG